AGTCTACCTCGTCCTCCAGCTCCAGGACTCTCTCCTGGTACTCCTCCAGTTCCGTGGAGGTCAGGGTGATGACTTCCTGCAGCTCCTTCTCCAGCAGGGTCTTGCTCTTGGTCACAGCCCGCAGCTCCTCCTGCAGGGCCTTGATCCTCTCCTGGGTGAGGAAAAAAAACAAGACTGTATTCGTCCAATATATATATATGATTATTATGAATCGGTTAAAAAAAAAAAAATCGATACAAATACGTAACAATTTGCAATTGTGGAAATAAAAAATGAATCTCGAAAATCACTGGTCAAACAATGACACTACACACTCCAGTACAGTAGGTGGCGGTATACGCCTAAAAATGTCGGTCGTGACCCTCTATTAAACCAAGACGTCAGGTCCCTACGTAGCTAGGAGACATTCAGGTGTAAGTAAATCGCGACTCGTATCGTACGGTGACATGAGCGAATCGTACCATCCCTAACAAATGACCAATCGGCGGCTGTTGTTACCTGTAAGGCCTGCGTCTGTCCTCCGTCCGACACCTGGCTCTTCAGCTTGACCAGCTCGGCCTCGGTCACCTCCTTGTCGCTCAGCGCCTCCTGCAGCCTCCTGCTGAGGATGCCCACGGCGTTCTCGTAGGCCTTGTGCTTGGCCTTCATCTCCTTCTGAGCGCTGGTCAGGTCGGTGCCCAGGCGCCTCATGTTGACCTTCTGCTCTGATATAGCCCTGTTGGTTTGAACACACACACACACACACACACACACGAGGATGATGATGATGTTTGTGAGTCACACACTCTGTCATGTTTCCTCGTCAGTCTGACAGCAGAGTCGACTCACTTCTTGGCTTCTGCCTCCATCTGCTCCACCTGTTTCCTCAGGCCCTCGTTCTCCTCCGTCACCGCGGTGAGCTGGCTCTGGTCAAACTGTATAGACTTTGACGAAGAAGAAAAAAGGAATTAGGGATGTCTGATATATACATATACATATATGTATATGTATATATGTACATATATGTATATATATATGTATATATATATGTATATATATATATATATATACATATATATATATATATACATATATGTACATATATACATATACATATATATCTATACATATACATATATATCTATACATATACATATATATCTATACATATACATATATGTATATATATATATATATGCTGCCATCTAGTGACTTTTCGATTTCATATGCAGCCGTTTTTCCCCCCAGTCATTGCGTTATCGACTTTCCATTATTCAAGGAAAAAAAACGATAAACAATTCTTACAGATATTACTTAATTAGGCTAATATCGGCGCGATAATATCGGAGAGAGACCAGAGACCACTACCTGGAGGTGGGTCTCCAGCTGGAGCCGCTCGTCCTGTATGGACTGCAGATGGGCCTCCATCTGACCCATCTGCTCCTGCACCCTCAGGAGCTCCTTCTTCAGCCTCTCCTGCTCCAGCTCCGACTTCTGCCTCTCCTGCTGGACTCCCTGCAGCTCCTGCTTGAGCTCCTTCACCTCTGCCAGCAGTCTTTTTTTGGTGGTCTTCAGTTCACTAATCAGCTGGTCTTTGGAGCTGGCGTCGCGGCGGTACGCTTCCACCATGACCTAGGGAGGACACACCAAACCAAGACGTTACCAGGTGTGGATCTGGGAGGAGGTTCTGGACACGACCTGAGAGGAGGCCCACGTGACGGAGAACGTTTTCCTCAGGTTCCTCGGAGTTAAAAAAATAAATAAACTCCTGACTCCAACATGGGTTTAGTTTCGTCCAATCAGCAGCAGCGGTGGCAGAGATCTATTGTTGAAGTGATAAAAGAGAGGGGGCGACGGAGGACCTCCCCAACGACGAGAGTGTGACATTTCTGTCTGTTAGCGTTAGCCGCTTACTGACAGGTTGTCAAAGACTCGTCGTCGCTCGTCAAACAGATGACGCGTTGGCTATTGTTGTGAAATGACAGCCCGTCTGGTCCAACTGCACGCACTCCTACTCCACTGGCGGATCTGGACTCAAACACCCCGCAGTTTCTGGAGAGAACGTGGGAGAACGTCTCACCTTCTGCTGTTGAAACTGTTCCTTCAACTTCTGCGTCTGTTTCTTCAGAACGTTGTTCTCCTGTTGAAGAGCATCGATCTGCGGTGGAAATAAATAAAAAAAAATTTAAAAAATGCATCCGTCTGTATAAGGCAGTGGGTGGCAAAAATACGGCTGGCGAGCCAAAACCGGCCCGCTAGGGAGGTTTAATCCGGCCCGCTTGATGGGAAAACATGGAGTTTTTTTTTTTAAATAAATGTATTCCGAGCGAGTTTCCGGTCTTTGTTCTCGTACCTGACCGGCCTTGACCTGGACTTCCTGTCTGAGCTGATCCAAGACATCGGAGGACAGCAGGACATCTTCTCCCAGCTGCTCGGCGCCCTCGTCCAGCTGCCTCTTGTCGGCCCGCGCCGCCTGCAGCGCCACCTCCAGTACGATCTTCTCGTTCTGGAGGTACTGGATGCTGTCGTCTTTGGCGCGGCCCTCGCCCTGCAGCTCCTCCAGCTGGCTCTCCAGCTCCAGGTAACGGGCCTCCAGCTGGTTGATGGACTGCTCTTTGGTCTGAAGGTTCTCCTGAGTGTTGGTCAGCTGACGCATCAGCTCCAGGTGCTCCCTCTGGAGCGACTGCAGCTGCGCCTCCTTCTGGGAGACGCTCAACTTGGCCTAGGAGAGAGACGGAGCGGGTCAAAAAAAATAATAAAAACAACATTCTGGTAGGTGGTGGTGGTGGTGGTTCGTCGTCGGTACCTGCTCCAGCTCCCTCTCCATAGTGCTGGCTGCGTTGGCTAACTGGAGGAGGCGCTCTCGCTCCTCCTCGAACTCCTCCAGCTTGTGCTGCAGGTCCTCTTCCACCATGGACTTTGCGTCCTGGATATGCTTGTAGGCTGCTTCCTGGGTTAGCATGTCGGCCTACGTCAAACGGTAAGAGAGTTAGAGATTTGATACGTGTCACGATACGATATATTGCGATATATTGCGATACTACAGGCACGATGATATATTGTGTGACTGTAGTCCAAGTGGGATAACTTTTTTTCCGATATTCGATATCGTGATATGGTCCAAACACTTAATTTACGATTCCGATTTCAACTGATACAATACCTAATATCGTACAAAAATCGGTCGGCCGATACTAACGGACATCTCTAAAAAAAAAAAAAAAAATCCATACACTGATGACTGAGGATATTGATACGGTATCAGGAAAAAGGGAAATATCGCAATATTTTAGCGTATCGATATTTTAGTATCGAAAAGAGTGACCTCTGACCCCTTGGGAACATACGTACCTCAATGCCCTGCAGCTGAACAGCGATTCGTTCTTTTTCCTTGATGGAGCGGTGCTGTGTTTCTGTGAGCTGGTGCGACAGCGTGACGTTCTCCAGCTTCAGATGTTCCACAACGCCGATCTGCGTCATCTGTCCGGCCTGGAAACAACAAAAAAAAAAAAACAAAAAACACAGACGCGTTAAAATCGAGCGTCACAGCCCGACGGGTGAGGTCAGAGGTCACTAGCAAGTCTCAAGTCTTTGCACTCAAGTCCGAGTCAAGTCTCAAGTCAGGACTGAGTGTCAAGTCAAGTCAAGTCCTGCCGTTTCTGTTTCAAGTCCTTTTAAACAAAAGGACGTTGTTCGACAGCTCTTCCTCATCGGTTGTCCCACGATTTGATTGGCTCGATGCTAAGCGCGTCAAAACAACTTGGGTCTTAATAACTTACTTTATAATCTTTGGATTCTGGAGAAAGTATCAAGTCCTGTCGAGTCAAAGGGCTCAAGTCTGAGTGAAGTCACGAGTCACCAACGTTGAAGTCCAAGTCGAGTTTTGCAAGTCTCTTTACATTTTGTCAAGTCCAGTCTAAAGTCATCAAATTGACGACTCGAGTCATGCGACTAGAGTCCGACCCGGGTCCGAGTCATGCGACTAGAGTCCGACCCGAGTCCGAGTCATGCCACTCAAGTCCACACCTCTGGGTGAGGTAATGAAAAAGAGAAGCGACCCGGGGGTCAGTCACCCCCCTCCACCCCCCGTACCCCTCCTCACCTGCATGTTGGCCATTTGGTTCTGCAGACGAACCCTGGCCTCCTGAGCCAGGCCCAGCTGCTGCTGGTACCACTGCCTGACCTGCTGCAGGGACTCAATCTCAGCCTGGGACGTCTTCAGTCGGCTCTGCAGCGTGCTGCGCTCCAGCTGAACCTGTTGGTACTGGTTCTGGAGAGTCGCCATCTGCTGGCGCAGATCCTGAACTGTAAAAAAACCCAACAAAAAACACAGCCGTTTGAGTGAGAAGAGCCGGCCTCGACCTCCCCGGGTCTCCCGGGGTCTCGTCTCTGTCACATACTCACCGGTGTTGTCCCGCGTGCTGACCGTGTTCTGCATCTCCTCCACCTTCGCCATCAGCCGGTTGTACTGCTCTTCTGCCACTTTCAGGTCGTTGCCCAGAGAGGCCAGACTGGCGTTCTTGGTTTCCAGGTTGCCCTGCAGCTCCATCATGGACTTCTCCAGTTGGTTGCAGCTCTGCCGCAGCGTGCTGACCTCCGAGCTCAGGACGCTCCGCCTCTCCTGGCTCACCTGAGCCTCCTCCGTCATGGCCTGCAACTGAGCGTTGATCGTGGCCAGCTGGGCCTGGAGCTCCGTCTTCTCCTTGAGAGCCTGGAGAACAGATCAACATCAGGGGGGTGAGAGGGGAGGGGGGGGGCATCAGTGAAGAGCAGCATTATCAGGATGGGGGGAGGGGAGGTTATTAACTGGACAGGTAACTGTTGCTCCACCCACTGGTCAAGACCTGACAGGAAACCAACCCTGACTGTGGAGCTCCACCCAGACAATAGACACATATACATACATATATATATACATATACCCATGTACGCATATATGCACATATACGCATATATACACATATACAATATACACATATACGCATATATATATACGCATATATACACATATATGCATATATACATATATACGCATATATACATATATATTAGGTAGTGACACCAACCCCCCAACTGTCCCTACATAAGGCAACAAACATCACAGCTAAAACAGAGAAATAATGTTCCGTTTGTGACTCGACTACGCGCTAAAGCTAACGGTGCATTCAAGTTGTACACAAATGTCTATTTCAATTACTTCAATTTTAGTAAGGACACGGCAGCAATATAAAAATATACAATAAATATATTTATATATTAAAAAATATATAAATATAAATAAAACATATCTGGGCATATATATGTATCGGTTCGGATGATTGTTATATTTATTATATAATGATATTGCTGACAGCTTGTCCCCTCGCCCCGTCCTTCACACTGTTTCTAGGGCAGAAATAATAATAATAAAAATTCCTCTGGTCAAACAACCTGGTTAGCTTCAGACGACAGGGACTCCAGCTGGCCCTCGAGCCTCATCTTTTCCTTCAGCACCTGGAGCATTTCATCGTGGCCCATCACTGAGCTCTCCAGAGACACACTGGAAAAAAAAAAGAGAAAAAAAAAAAGAAAGAAATATTTTCAGAATCTTTTACATCATTGTTTCCCAAAGACTGGGTCACGGCCCTCACGTGGGTCACAAGAATTTTTTTTTTGGGGTCGTCTCGCATCATGTTACCCAAGAGTTTACGAATAATTACTATTGACTCTGGTCGCAAAGTTTGGGAAACACTAAACAAAAACACGACCAGTTCACACCTGCTGGAGAAACTGTCCCTGCGGCTGCGAGGTTCTGGCGCCTCCTCCTGGTGCTGCTGCTGCTCCTCGCTGACCTTCTTCAACAGTTCATGCAGGGAGGGGAACTGACCGATGGCCTCCGCGGCAATCTCCCGCCCCTCCACCGTGTAGGGGCCTCGCTGTCGCTCCATCACCGCCGACAGCGTTCCGTACGAGCCGCGGACGGACGCGCTGCTGATCGAGGAACTGTCGCTGTCGTTGCCGTCATTTCCCAGCCGCACTCCCGATTCGCTGCCGTCGACCTCCGAGACGTTGTCGCCGATCTGGAGCGAGGCCGCCGGCTGTGCATCCACCTCGCAGGTGCTGCCCTCCGACATCACACTGACCTCCGACACCGTGGACACGGAGTTGACGGTGTTGTCCAACGTCCTCCCCCCACCTCCTCCTCCGTCACTCTCAGGAGACTTGTAGTCGGCCAGCGAGTGAATCTTGTTCTGGCGAGACGACGTGGACCTCCTCTGTTTGGGAGGAGGAATTCCCAAACTTCCCACTTTGGGACCGCGTGGGACACTAGTCCTCATGAAGGAATACTCCGTTGTCATGGAGACGGCACTGGCCCGAGGCAGGACGTCAGGATGGAGCATGAGTTCTGGATCCAAGGTGCTTGAAGGTCGGATTTTAGAGGAGGTGCGATGGGACTGGAGAACAGAGGGGTAAAGTTAGCTAGCTAACTGAACATACGTTACCAGACGTACGTTCAGTTCACCGCGGGGGTTTCGTCCACTCACCCTCTCCTTGTGCCTCTGCACTCTGTACTGTCTGAGTTGCTCCTCCAGACGGCGCCGCGCCTCCAGGCGAATCTTCTCTTCGTTTTCCATCTCCAGCGATGGGTTCTGGTTGGCTAAAAGTAAGGGGTGAGGCCAGAAACCATTAAAGCTGACATCAGACCCCACATACCAGGTGTAAATGCTGGTACGCCGCAACAAACAACATCTCACACACTGCTGTTCCTAAAGGCAAACCGTTAGCCCGACGCAGTGATTCCCAACCAGTGTGCCGCGGCACGTTAACGAGCCGTGATCATCAGGTATACTGTGGGAAATTATTATTTAGGCCATTAGGTGGCAGAGGATGCCCGTAACAACTAAAAAAAAGACTCTGAACTGTTTTTTCACAGTTTCTCTTTCTTAAATTCCTGAGTTGTGTTCAACTAAACAGGCTTTGGGACTGACGACGTAAATTAAATGTAAACTGAAACTTTTGACATTTTTCTTCGTGTTGCGATGTGAGATTTTTCTTACGTAACATAGTTGGGAATCACAGGTGAGAAAAAAACTTTTTTTTTTTCCTAACGTTAGTATAAAAACACCTTTAAAAAAAAATTTCAAATTGATATTCCCAGGTTAGGACTCTTGTCCCAACAATAATGAATCACACACCAAAAAAAATAAAATAAAAGCTTTGAGGTTAGAAAAAGCAACAGGAAATTCCCAAACAAATCTACATTTTCACAAAAATTAAAAAACCCACAGAGTTAAAGGAACATTCCCATAAACCACAGGGAGAAGAAAACCCACATTCACTGGTTTAAATGACAGGGGGGGAATCCGGGGGGGGGGGGGGGGGTTTCGGTTACACAATTTCTTCTCCCGCCATGGGATAACACTGAGTTTGAGCGACTGCAGTGCGTCGCCCGTGTGACCCGCAAGCTCAGCACTAGCGCCCTCAGGCAGCTCTAGTGTCACGGGTGGATGTGCAGCCGCACCTGGGGGGGGCTCCTGACTCCGGGGGGCGACGTGCTGCATGTTGCTGCCCTCACTCGTGCGAGGTCCCTGCGCCGGATAGGCGCCCCGTGCCGGCCCGTCTCCGTTCGGGACTTCGGTCAAACCGACGGGACCTGAAAGTGGAGAGACGTGACAAAAGGAACCAGTCGGAGGAGAGGTGACGGCCGCAGGGTAAACCGGCTGGACGACTCTGACACATCGTGTTTGCCTTTGTGCAAAGCAGCGACTTAAATCAACATTAAAGGCAAATAAAAGATTTCAAAATAAAAGTGTTTTTTTTTTTAATGTATTCGAGGCTTGTCGTTGAAATTCTAGGGGTGGGGGCCAGGGGGCGCCATGAAGAAGGTTCCAGATTCACTTCTACTCAACCAGCAATCCAGGGCTGGAATGTTGCATCAGGACAACAACTATGCCAAAACCACCATGTGGCAATTTTCGAGACATTCTTAAAATATTTACGTCTTATAACGGTATAAACCGTTACGATTTAAACCAATCAAATCCAATCATCAGATTAATTTTGTTTTTATTTGTGGAGTGACGAGATGATTTGTAGAAAACGTTTTAGTCTCATCTTCATCAACCAATCAGCAACTGAGGAACATTTATTTCCTTATGTTATGACCAAAACTGTGTTCGCAAAAAGACTGACCCAAAAAAAAAAAACGCATCAAACTTCCAATCATTTATTTAACTTAAAAAACGCATTTTATTGACACAAATCCTACCTGATGTTGATCGAACAACAGGGGGCGCAGCGGACAGGTATACAGGTCAAGACTAACAACTACGCCCACTTCATTGATATATATATCCAATGATACCGCAATACATACCGATAACGCATAACCCTTGAACTGTAAACAATATCGACTATGATCATAAACCCAACAGAGAAGCGCGGACTCACCGTTAGAAACGTTCCCCCGGAATTGATCCAAATGTTTCGGTCCATTGTGGTCCAGTTCTGTCCCGCCTCCCGCACCGTGACCACCGGCATCTTTACCGTTAATTATTTGTTCCTTCTGGAAAACACTGGCTTCGACTTGAACGGTTTCTAACGGCGTGGCGTCCATTTGCCTCGAGTCGAGTCGGTGTCACGGGCGGAACTCTGGAAAAGAATGTCTCACTGAACCATTCCAGGAGACAAGGAAGCAGGAATCATGTCCGACACTGAGCGATAAAAACACACAAAAAACAACATTCATTTAGACGTTTACGACACAGAATAAAGAGCATTAAAAAATACGTGGGAACTAGTTTTTATTCTTAAAAATGTTTGGGCGCCATAAGGATAAAACTGGGCACATCTGGTAACGCGGCGGGGTTCCTTTATCGTTGACAGCAGCATGGAAGCAAAGCGGCGTGACGTGTCCGTGGAAGCAACAGACGCAACCGACACCTTTAAATCGTCCTTACGTGTCCGCGGGGTGCAGTTATACGGACTTAAAATAATCCAAAAGAACAAAAAATGCCGCACAGCTAGCTGAAATACCGACGGGGCTGCTGTGCTAACGCGCTAGCTAGTTTCAGAAACATCGGGAAGAGGGGCGTCTCTACAAATAATGTATATATAAATGAACCAAAAAACAAACGACTTACTGTCACGAAAGCGCGCTACAGAAATTAATGTCCAATTCAGGAAATGACAACGTCGATAAAACGTTACAAAGAGCGAATATGTTCACCTTTTAACAGCTTCGCCTTTTACTACGTGGCTGTTTGGGTTCCGTCCCTTTAATCGTCCGACTAGAAACAGAGGACGAACAGTGTTCATCCGAACTAAAGGGACGAGCTGTTTTGCCGGAATCCCGTGTGCGAAATATTTGGATTTTTAAAGAACAAAACACAGTGGGATTTATTTTAAAATAATAAAAAAAATGAAACCGTGAGTTATTTTTGTGTTTTTTTTTTTCTGTAAAAAAACGGATATTGTTTCACAAAAATCGGAGTTTGAGAATAAATAGAACAGATCGCGGAGTCAATGTTTTTAAGATTTTTTATCTTCAGACAAAAAACATTTATTGATGTGAATAATATGCCATAAATTAATTATCAAAATTATCAAGTTTTTTTTAAGTGTTCAAAATAAAATGTATTACCACAAAATGGATCAAAAGCCTTTGGTATAGCGGTGATTTAAAACCGTTCGATTGTCGCCACCCAGTGGTTATATTAGGCATAACACGGATTGAATTTTAAAAGAACATTTTCTTCTTTTAAAATTCAACTTGTTTCTTATATCAGAAATATAATTTTAACAAAAGTCTGACTTTAAGACTGAATATTCTTTACTTTAAAAATTACATTTGTAGTTTATTATACCCTATAAATATGTATATCCATCAAACACATAACTTTACACTGTCAACAGGAGGCGCTACAGGCAAAGTCTAAACAGGACGCCAGTTCGGTTCTATCCCGTGGTCTTGGATTATAATAATTTTAATTATTATCATAATTAATAAAAATAATAATTCTAACTGTTCTAACTAACAAAGGTTCGAATCCCCTCGGGTGGCCGTGGCCCTGACCCTTCTTGCGGCGCCCCTGTCTCTAAAATAACACGAGGATTATACGTCATGTGCGGATTACTCTAAAGTAGAATTTAAAATACATGTTGTCAGATTATTACTAGTTTACGGTCAGGTGGAGAAGCGGGGAGGGGAGGGGAAGGGGGTTCGGCTCCGCTCATGAACGATGGATGCGCGCTCCCGACACTTCAGGTGATTGAGTGAATGAGAGGAGCGAGCGCGACCGACTGCGGGCATTCAGAGTGGAGCAGCTGGGGAGAGAATGAGGAGCGTGATGTCGCCGGGAAGTCACGTTCTTCTGACAACTTCTCTGCTCTTCCTGATGGGCAGCGCGGCGCAGAGAGTAAGTTGACGTTCGGTTCCTCAGTAGAACAAGTTTCTCCGGCGGTAGAACCTCAGAACCGCGGGCCGCTCACGTTGGAGGAGTGAGAAGTTCGCGAAGTTTGAGTTTAAAAAAAAAATCTTGTTATTTAGGCATCATCGTAATTAGCAGCCGTTAGCTCGACAGTAAAACGACAACCGAGTGTTGACGTCTGACTTCATGTCGGGCAATTAACGGCCGCGGTACAGACATTTAAACTCCTAATCAACCCTGTGTTTGTGTGTGTGTTCTCGCAACGGCTTCTCTCCGTCAACAGAACCGAATTCGCTTTGTGTTCGTTCTGTGTTCGTGTCGGCTAACACGCTGACCGAACATGTTTAGAGGATGGATGTGGTCCTGTTCCGAGTGCTCCTTTATTAGATATTATACAGCACAGAGACAGGGTGGCTTTCTGTTGTGTTTGTTCTCAAAATATGGTTCATGTACCACTGGTGGTACCCAGGCTCCCTCCAGTGGTGTGCAGCAGAATCGGATTCCCGTAAGGGCTAGGGCGTTCGGGTTAAATACAGCTATTAAATATTTTATACATATACAGGCACATACATAAACATATATATATTTATTTATTTATATATATATATAGTATATTTACATACATATATATTTGTATATACATGTGTGTAAGTATATATATCTATATATATTTATCTATATATATATTTATAAATATATATTTGTATGTGAATATATGTATATATATTTGCATACACATATTTATATACATATATATTTATATATGTGTATGTGAATATATGGATATATATATTTACATACACGTATATATATTTATATATGTGTATCCACGTCTATATATATTATATGTTTATGTAAATATATATGTGTATATATATATTTACATACATATTTTCTGTTTATGTAAATATACTGTATGTGTGTATATATTTACATACACATATATGTGTATGTAAATATATATAGCATATATATAGCATATACAGTATATATGCTATTTATATATAGCATATATATATTTACATACACATATAAATATGTGTTTATGTAAATATATTTACATACACACATATGTACATATATTTATATATGTGTATCCACCTCTACATGGACCGAGTGTCTCAGATCCATTCACTGGACCACGTTCCAAAAATCTGGAAATAATTCCGACAGTGGTGGTTGAAACCGCTCTGGAGATCAGGTCATTCCTGGGGTCGGCTCTGACAGCTACCCCAGAGACAGCAAGTCTTTCTGGGAGGAAGTATTCAGTCATTGGTTTCACACCAAAACATAAAAAGACGCAGATCTGCGTGTTCTGTTGCCCACACTGAGAGGCGAGGGGCAGGGAGGAGGTGAGGGGTAGCATGCCTTTGTGAGACCGAGGAGCAGAATATTTTGATGATGATGATGATGAAGCTGCTGTAAGTGTGAGGCCCCAGAACCCCACTGTGGTTGTTTGTGACCTGCAGTGGGCGACGGTGAGCAGCAGCAAGGGCTTAGATATCAGTGCAGAGATATGTGATAAGAGCCAGAATCGAGTGTCAAATCCTTTCACCCACGGAGCCGCCTGACGTCAGAGCTCCTATTCTAGAAGAAAAACAAACAAATGGGTCACCGTACCCGGGATTGGGTTGCAGCTCTGAGGGGTCGGTCCACGTGGGTCTGTCCTGACGTTTCACCCGCGTATCGGTTTATAATTCGTCAACTTTGGAGCTTTGGATTTCTGGAGCAGATTTGTTACAGTTACAAGTAAGCGTGTTTAGCGTTAGTCTCCGCATAGACGATACATTCAAGAATTTTTTCATGTATCCACAAAACAGACGTTAAAGTTCTCACCCGACCCCGTGTGGTGTGCAATGCTATGACGCGTTGACCTTGAAGACCTTTAGTTTTGTTTTGTTGAGTCCTGTGATTTTGTCCTGTTTTTTCTTTTCTTTTCCACCCTGAACGCTGACATTCTCGCAGGGAGAATACAAACCTGGGGTCCTTAGGCTAACAAAAGGGTCACAAAAGGTGACCTCTGACCTAGACTTAATACATTAAAGATAGAATTTCAAAGCAGTCGTTATAAATGTCATAGTGTCTGTGTCTGCGTGACCCAAACCTGTGACCCCGTCAGGAGTCTGATCTTTGTCTCCCCCTGTGGACCTTCGCAGAACTGTACCTTTTTTTTTTTTTTTTTTTACTGTGCGTCGTTGCCGTTCCTCCAGTCGGACTCCGTGCCGTTTGCTACCGCACGTTGATGTAAACCCTGGCATCCCAAGAACTGCCCCCTGGCCCCCGCTCCTGCCCCCTGCCTGTGAGGCCGTGTCACTTTCCTCCGGCGGTAAACATGGCCTGTAAGAATTCAGGCCCCATTTCAGGGGCCTGGCCTGTTTATAAGCCAGAGCTGTTTGTGCAAGAGAGGCACCGCGCGTGCGCGTGTGTGTGTGTGTGTGTGTGAGTGATAATAGTACTTCAGTGAGTACTGCTTGCTCTGTAGTGTTTTCAGCAGGCGGTTGATAAAAAGGTCGATGTTCTGAGGTCGTCGTCACAGCAACAACAACAACAACAACAACAACAATAACAACAACAATATTATTGGTTCGATTCCGACCACATTCATCTGAATTATTTTTATTTTTTCTCTTTCTCTAAGTCTCTCTCACACAGAGCAGCATTCATCCAAGGGTCATAAAAATCCTGCCCATGTGTTTGACCCTGAGCCAGAGTTTGGACACGCCCGCGGCAGATCGGCGATCACACTCGTCATCAGCTGACAAACCGTGGCCCCCGGCCCCAGGGGGAGAATGGGGAACTTATCTCGTACATTTTTTAACTTCGTTTTGTCTTCAATGATTTGACTGACGTAAAGTAGGGTTTCTAAACAGGAGGCTCACAGCCCTTATGGGGTCTTGGTGGTACTGCGGGAAAATTAAAAAATAAATTATTTTATTTATTTATATTTTATACAGTTCATGTACACGGGGGCTCCTCTGCCTTTGGCCCCCGCCCCACAGTTTTATCCACCTTCCCATGCCATTACGGCCACGGGCCGAAGTGACCCATTGTGTTAGCATGAGAAAAAGCGTCCGTCAACAATTAGTGCGACTCAATGATTTCACAGGGCGTCGATGTTTGGCATTGAAAGAATGTCCCACTTCCATCTGATGCTGTGGCACAGTGGGGCCCAGCCTGGAGGTCCCACGGTGCGGGCCGCCTCAGTTCAGACAGAGGAATGACGCATCGGTATCTGATTGGACCCGGACGATTGTTAGCTGAATGTTAGCTAAACTCAAGATGCCGTAAAGACAAGTGTAGGCCGGAAATATTTGTGAAGTCAAAACGGAAACGTCGTCAGAAGGTGGCGTACGTTTACCGATACCGCAGAGAAACGGACCAGAGGTTGGACCTCCCTCCAAGAAGCAAAAAAAACAGCTCCTTACAGACGAGAAAGGAAACGAACCATTAGACGATACAAAAACGCTCCACCTCATTAGCACAGCCGTTAGCATAGCCGAGCACAGCTGTTAGCACAGAAAGTGATTCCGGCGACTCTGTGAGGTCCAAGTCCCTCATCTGTCCACTAGGGGGGTTAAACAGATGCTAAGTCTTCAGCTCATTTACTAAACCGTTGGTGTCAAGGTCTTACGGTAACCCCCACCCCTGATGTTGAAACTCCTGCTGATATTGTTGTCCTACGTACAATAAATAAAGTACCAACAAATACCCGACTACTGAATACTCGTGTACAAATACTCCAAGTATATGAGTGAAGATACTGGTATCGGTTTCTCTGCGTTCTTACCATAAAGGCAGATTACCTAGAGTAATTAAATTTAACGTCAATGGAAACCAACAACCCACCCCACCCCCTTGCCTGCCCCCTACAGGCGATTGACCAACTGCCTTCCTGCCCCAGCGTTCCGTTCTGCCCCTGTTGTCTGTTTGGGTAAGAGGGCACATCCTCAAAACACAC